AATTGTTATTGTCGAAATTATTTTCCGCTCCGTATCTTCAAAACAAAGCGCCCTATCAAAAATCATCAAAGAACACAATATCCTTAGAACAGTCCAAGGAATAGTCCCTTGCATTTTTGCCGCATGTTTAATGAAAACCCTTTATAACAGAATATCAATAGAAGAAATAAAAATGAGTTGGGAAAATATGTTTTCAATTATATAATTGAATAGGTGAAGTGGAAGTTCCTAGAACAACTGCTTTTTCAGTTTATATTCGATTAATATATTATCTACTTTTACTTATAATATATTACTTTACTTAAATATATTACTTTTATGTCGATCATAACGGATACAGTCTTCGCAAAAAGAGTTGTCATGTACAATTCTCATTTCTAAATCATTTTCAAAGTAAAAATATACATGACTTTTTCAGTTACTCCCAGCACATCTGAAGATAAAGGTCGAAAACGCGGTAGAAAACGCAAGGTTAAAAGAAAGAGACGCGGTAGTAAAAGAAATACCAGAGGTCGGAAACTGACAGGAATAAAAGGTGAAACACAGTACTCTCCAGAAACCATAAATTCGGAAGAAAATCAAATTACATCGTACGGCTTCACGAAATCCACGGAAAGTCGCAAATCTATAGTAGACAAGAATAAAGAGGGCGAAGGCAGAGACAAAAAAGATAGAAAAGATGAAGGTATATTTTATTCGTTTATTTCCTAGAAACTACAATGGAAATTACTCATGCAAGAAATAGTCATACATAATTTCAGAATTGTTCTGATTTTGAACAAAAAAACAAACCCATATGATTATGTTGGTTGATAAAACAAATAGTTCTTTATTGCCATTTTAAATTTTTCTTGTGTTGGAAAATTGTTCATTTGGTATTGCGTTATATACAATTAATGGAAAAGGAAGTTTTTGTCCTTCTACTTTTCCTTCTTGATACTAAAAATGTGGGAATCTTCCATAACATAAACATAGAATTATACGAAAAAAAAAACTTTCCAAACAACCTTTATATGAACGCTTAATTATTTATATTCCAACTACTCAAAAATGTTTTGTATTATTTCGCAGCGTTAAGAAAATGGACTATAGTTGCATTTAGTACAGGCCAGGTTAGGTTAGATTTCGAAACGCAAATCCGAAGACCACTGGCTTTCGTGTGGTAGACATTGAGAGTCTGATGATTATTAGCTCATTTATCAGTTAATAGTAAACTATGTTTTCATGTATTGCAATCAACTTTTTTGCATGAGATAAAAACAGGAAAAATCTTGACAGTGCTGAACCTATATACATATGTTTGATACTGTTATTAAATAGATGTATATATATATTCAAGTTTGGTTCATACCTCTTTACTACCACTACCAAAATCTGTGGCAAATAGTAATTTCAAAAATTACACCTCACGATTTGATCTTCACGAACTTTATTTGAAATATATATCACAATATAGAGCTTTAACGTATGTTGGACAACCAACGGAAAAAGTGACTTCATTATTGAGGAAACGAGATATAAAAATTCCATAGAGAACAAGTAATACATTGGGAAAGTTAGTTAAAAATAATAAAGACAAATCATCAAAATTCGAGAAATCAGGAGTATATAAATTAAAACGTGGAACGCGTCCCAAACTGGCAGGACATTAAGGAATCGAATCCAGGAACGAAGGGGAGGGGGCCTTGGAAGGAAACCTGTTTGGACTCGTTACTTTTGTTATTTTTTGAGACATCATTTTTTATTTTGTGGATGTTTTTCACCCAGTGCTAATGTTTTGTGATAATTGATATTGCCATTTATTCTTGGATTAATTTTTTTTTCCTGTTATTTCCAATGATCGCAAGCTTTTGGTATTACTGTCGTGTGCGGATATTATTTAGCTATACAAAATGGTTTTTTTTTGCTGTGGATAAGTCATGTTTTTATGACGTAACATTGAAAATACTAAATCCAGTCGCCGATTTTCGAAAAAAAAAATTTCCGATATCTCGAAAACAAAAATACTTTTACCTAAACTTTTTTTCCTGTTATGAGCTACTCATGACCTCAGCTATCACCACCTCAAGGTTTATCCTCAAGAACCGGGACACCCTGTAGAGGTTCAGGTAATTTTTTGGAGGTAGTCCAAATTGTGATTAATATAAATATTAATGTAATGTATAAATCACTTGAAAAAGCCACTGTACTAGCGAAACATGTGATAAATAAAGTTTTTGGAGATCAAATCGTGTAGTGTAGTTTTTGAAAAATGCAAATGGATAAACTCGTACCTCGATACCAACCCAATCGAAAGGGTATGAATATTAGTTTACAGTGAGCAATTTTTCATCATCAATCAACGCTGGTGTTCCCCAGTGATCCATATTGTCTCCAACCCCATCTTTATTGTATATCAACGACTTATTGGAAAAACCAAGCATGTAATATATTGCTTTGCTGACGACAGCGCACTTGTCTCGTCATTCCATTTAGATTCCAGGACATCCAGAGGTGATTTCGGATTGGATTGAAAGTAACCAGGTTCAATTCAATGCAATAAAAACCCAGGCATCGGTTTTCTCCAATCGGAAATAATAATGTCAGGACATACAATTCCGCTTTCCACTTCAATACGTTTGTTGGGGGTTGAAACAGACACCAATATGTCTTGGCTGCGACATGATTGGAACTGCAAGGGCTCCTTCTCAAAAGTTTGGAACAGTATTCCGCACCAAAAAACTGAACAATCCTCAGCAACTTTTGATGTTTTATGAAGCTCAGATCAGATCTTCTTTGGAGTATTGTTCTCATGTATGGAGATCCGCCCCTAAGCATAACCTGAAGCTGCTGGATTCCATCCAGAAACAATCCATCTCCTTGATTGGAGACGCGAACATCATTTGCAATCTTGACAATCTGGAACATCACAGAGAGGTTGGAGATTTGTCTCTCTTTTATAGATACTTTCACGGGAAGTGTCCAAGTGACTTGGCACATTTGATTCTATCATAAGCGGTACATATCAGAAATACGCGACGGACTGTGACTGCTCATCGTTTTGAGGATCAACCCAGTACACCTCGAACTTCACTGTTTAGGAATCTTTCATTTGAAAAACTGCGTTTATGTGGAATGAACTTCCTGAGCACGTTTTCACAACTGAATTCAATCTCCAACGATTCAAGTCCAACGTGAATCTCTACTTTCGCACAGGCACCGCTCTTAGAGCACCTTAAGGATACTCCTGTAGTGTTTGTGTTTTGTCCTTAAGAAAAATCGTCAGCGGTATTATTTGTAGAGATGCGCTTTTCAATAGGAGTATTGACTTATTAAAAATGTTTTTCCAGCAGAATATAACAGATCGATTTGAATCATTGTAAAAATAATCGACATCTCCAATTTGAAGGAGATGAAGATTGGTTGACAGTGATTCAAAACAATCGTGAATATATTTTTTTTTAATAAAAATATGTTTTTCCGTTGAGGACTAACGATGTCTTACCTTTTAACGTGTGATCCCTAACGCGGAATAGGGGTATTGAATTATTAGAAATGTTTCTCATGCAGAATATTACAAATTGATTTGAATTATTTTAAAAATGATTATTACTTCGAAAACTGATTTTTTTTTCAGATCGCAGTCGAGAATACGAATCAAGAAGAGACAACACAGACGAGACACTAAAACTTAGCAATCATCAGCACTGTGAAAATCCTAATTGTCTTTGTAATATGGATAAAACACAAGAGGGGAATCATTCTCACCAGTAACTCAATGTTCTGTAATATTTGCGAGTGTATTTAAATTAAACGAGTTCTCTAAAAGAGACGGATCTTCTGTCAATTATAAATTTAGTAGTATAAATGGTACGATAATAGTATTAGGACACTTTTTTCTCTGGAACGTCTGAAAGGACCTTTTTTATCCGTAGCAAAAAAAAGCATCGTCCTCCTTGTGTGTTCAGCACACATAAAGCGTTTAGTTTCCATCTCCAAATCAAGAACAACATCATATTGATGTCACGTTTCTTTTGGGCAGTAAGTAAAACATTGAACTGGATCATATATAGTGCAAATTAATGCATGAATACTTTATTTTGAAGTAAAATTGACAGATGCATTTTTCAACTGGACGCCATCTGGGAAATGAAAATTGAATGAAAAGAGGGGTTTTATGACACATATTTTTGAAGCTCCTGACAAATGCTTCACAATCCTATAATATAATGTCAATATCTTCAACTACTACAAGATGGCGGAACATTTAAAATTGCCTGAATACATCGGCATTTGTGTACTTAATATGAGGTAATAAGCAAAGGTGCTTGAAATGGCTGCTTTGAACTTATTGACATATGAGCTGATCATTTTCGAACACAGTAACGTCAATATCTACAAATATTTATTATTTCCTGCCATATATCTAATATTGAAGCAGGTTAAGTTTCGTACACCCTTTGCTTCAAATAGCCTCATAAAAAGTCCAAAGATGTCAAATCTGACGTGTGGGCTGGCCATTCTGTAGAACCTCGATGGCCAATCCAACGACCGGGAAATGTGGTATCCAAATAGTTCTTGTTGAAATACAATATCCATATCGAATTCATTAGGATTCGCTTCGACGAATTCAGTAATGAGTCGACAGTAGTTTCCAACATATTCAAATACAGTTCCTCTGTTCAATTTTGATCAATAAATAGAGGTCCTACAATATGGTTTCCCAATATTCCTGCCCAAACGTGTATTTTTCCTGTATATTGGGTATGTGTTTCCCGGAAAACTTCGGATTGTGGAGATAGGTAGGATGCTTTGCAATGGTTTCGCAGAATTCTGTTCTTCGATCAGGTTCATCTCCAGTTAATTAGTGTACCATTTTGATTTTGTATGGATGATACCTATTCCCCTTCAAAAGTCTCCACACAGTAGAAGGAGACACCTCACAAACATTCGCGACGGAATAAGTAGTCTGTTCAGGATTTACTACCATCTCACCAATTATTTACACTTGCTGTTCTTCAGGAATGGGGGCTTTTTGTTATGTACACTACCGGTAGTTGTGAATTTGGATAGAAGTTCCTTTAAATATTTTCTACAGATAGAACGATTCGGAAAACGTTCATTGAAAATCCTTTCGGTCTCTTGAAAGTTACGCGTCGCACCGTAAATAAAAATCCCTTCAATTTTTTCTTCCAGTGGACGAGAAATGACCATTTTAGAGATTATTGACGTGATACCTTTCTACTAGAAAAACCGAACTACTAGAAATATCTATAATGTCTTCAGGAAATTATTAAATGTTTCGCCATTTCGTAGTAGGTGAAGATATTGACTTCATATTCTAAGGTTGTGAAGTATTCGTCAGGAGCTTTGAAGTGATGTGTCACAAAATCCCCCTTTCCATTAATTTTTTTTCCAGATGGCGCCCAGTCGCCATCTTGAAAGTTTCGTCTGTCAATTTAACTTCAAAATAAAGTATTTATGCATTAATTCCATCATCCCAAGTTTCAATTTTTTCAGTTGACCCGTTCAAGAAATAAAAGGGGGGACATTAAAGAAATACACTGTATATGTATTTTCGTCTCGGAAAGAATGTATAAAATATGATGGAGATTTTGAATCAAATAAAGCAATATGTTTGCTTTATGAACCGCCAATTAACAAATTGTTTACTGAAATCGCTTACCATTTCCAATAGCATACTGCTGTAGTAGGTCTGTCATGTTGATGTGTGTAACTCCTTTCTTTTCCTGCATGAAATTGTCGCAGTGGGTCACCTTACCGCTTCCAGGACCACCTGTAAGATAATAATAACAATGTATTTTACCAAGAAGCATACGATGTTCATACCAAGGGGTCCGGCTATTAAATAACGAGACTGCGCGCCTAGAGGGTGCCCTGGAGGGGTGGTGAAAAAACGAATAGTGCGTTGGGTACCTGGAAATCTTCTCTATTCACGTACCAAAACACGTTTTCGACACTATTATAGCATTTGTGCAGTAGCAGTTCGAAACGAACGTATTTTTTTCTCGTGCCAAAAACTATGTGTGACGAAAAACAGGAGCAACGTATCAATCTCAGATTTCTCGTTAAATTGAAAAAAACTCCGCCTGAGTACTATAAGATGTTGCAACAGGACTATGGTGACAATTCTATATCTCGTGCGCATGTTTTTGAGAGATGTAGGCGTGTCAGTGAGGGCCGAGAGAGGAAGGATGTCCAAATCATAATTCAAGGCAATGTCAATCGTTTTTTCGACATTAACGGTATTGTGATGACTGAATGGATTCCAGCGGGTCAGATTGTCAACCAGACTTACTATTCGTCAGTTTTGGCAAAACTGCGAGAACGAGTTTGTGAGAAACGGCCCGAGTTGTGAAAGAACAACTCGTGGATTTTGCACCAGGACAACGCATATGCCCATAACGCGCTATCTGTGAAGGGGTATTTGATCGATAAACGCACTCCAGTTCTCGAACACGCGCCGTACTCGCCAGATTTGGCACCGTGCGACTTTTTTGTTTCCGAAGATAAACTCTGCTTCGAAAGGGGCCCGATTTGAGTCGACAGAAATGATGAAGCAAAAAACGGCAGTACTCCTAAAAGTCCTCATCAAAGAACACTTCCAGCACTACTTCGATCAATGGAAAAAACGTATGGAAAGGTGTGTGGCGAGGGGTGGGGAGTATATTGAAGGTGAGCATTCGTATGTAGAATATTTTTTATATTAAAATCCTTTATTGTTACCAGTCTCTTTATTTAATAGCCGGACCTCGTATCTCAATGAATACTCATGCAATTCAATCGAAATAGGCGCAATTTGAATCAGTGTACTTTTTTCAACGCATCACAAGTCGATTAATTCTGTCAGCAGAATAAATTGTATTCTCAGGATTATATGGAGTCGAAGAAGGTCCTGATTGGGGAATATTCTACCAGTGATGAAGTTATCGGAGTTTTCGAAAAGTCGGTTGGCGAGAGGTCTGGGGAGTATGGTGGATGAGGCGGAGCTTCGACGCTGAATTCGTTTGAATTTTTGACGATTATTTGTGAATCGTGAGGCCGGAATCGTGGAGCAGGAACTGACCTCTCCTGTTAACCAGTACCGGCTGCTGCTGACGCAATTTTCAGTACGTTTCGTCAATTTCCTCACAATAGGACTCTGCTGTGGTTTGTCCTGCTTGCACAGTATTTTATTGTTTGAGGCTTTTCAAACAGGCCTGACAAGAGGATAATCGCAAATCATTGGTGAAAATTCAGGGAAAACGAGAAAAGTACAGAGAGAAAGATCGTAAATTGATGGTTAATATTCAGGAGAAACACGAAAAAGACAACCAGATGAACCTTCATTTATCAGAAGATTTGAAATCTTCCCAAGGGAGGTACAGGATTCTATTCAGGAAGAATTTGGAAAAGTATTTCAGGAAACAAAGGACGGATTGGAAATGAGAAGCTTGAGTGGGTTGAAAGGAAATCTGAAGAGAAACTTGAAGGAGTCGATAAAAAATTTGAAGAATTTTTTCGAGAATTTCGAAAAGAATCAGCGGAACCAAAAAGTATCGCTGTGGAAAAATGCAAAGTGGATACAACATATCTCCCTTCTAGCAGTTTTATTGAAACTCCGACCTCCGATAACGAATCTTCATGGGACAATTTATCGCAAACAATTTAAGGCTGCTGCGGAAAATAATAGGTGAAGCAACAGCTCTCATACTGGCATTAGGAGGAGAAGCCTCCGAGAGTCTGCAAAATATTCCAGTGAATATACAGAAGGATTATGAAGCAGTCGTATTAGCTTTAGAGATCAGATATGGTAGTGAGCACCTTGAATATGTCTACCAAGCTCAACTGAAGGTGAGACTCAAGGCCCATCAGAAAGTTTGCAAGAGTTTGAAACTAAAGTCGAAAGGTTGGTAACACTCGCTTACCCAGAAGCACCTGATAACTTCACCCACTGGATTAGCGACCATAGTTTCATCGATCGGGTTCGTGACAGAGCTTCAGCTACAGCAGAGAATGGCACGTCATAAAAAATTGAATGAAGCAGTCATTTATGCCCTAGAATTTGGAGCTGCCAAAAATACTTCGCGACAACAACAAGAAGTTTTATTAATTATGTATTTTGAGCACCGATGCATGTTCATTTTGATCTCTTGAACAAATCTAGTGTATCATTCCATCGGAAGTAATAACTGTAGACCTCAATATTTTGACGATGAATTTCCATTTTTAACAAAAACTCTGTTATTTAGCAATAACATAAGAACAACTAGTATGATAAAACCACGAGTCCGTAGGATTTGTGGATTTATTAATTGCTGGTTACTTGATTGGTAATGCTCAAAAATTACAAAGTCCATCTCAGATGGCATCTTCGGAAAGTAGATTACATCATATTTCTCAGTTAGCTATTGGTAAAATTTGGTAAAAATGCATGACGTACTGAACTCACCAAGAACGAATATAACAGGCACCTTTGGTGGATCGAAATGTATGTTAGTTCCGTTACTGTGGGGAAATTTTCCAGCGGGGGGTGTTGTGACATTTGTTGCTCTGGGTGAGTTTCTTGTCCAGGTATCAAGGCCTTCTTCGATATCTCGGGAACCATCACTTTGTTCTGGAAAAAAATTACCGATTAACTTCTTCATTGAAAAAAATTTGCGATTTTCTGCTATCAAAAACATAGATCAAAGAATTTGCATCAAATTTTGTATGAAAAATTGAGTTAGGCGCTCAAAAACCGTTGAACTGTTAATAATTGCATATGGTGATTGTACTTTTAGTCAGAGAAATGTTTACAAGTCGTACACGCTTTCAACGGAAAATGTGAATGACAACTCTCATCCTGGACGCTCCAGAAAATCAACAACTGATGAAAATGTTGAGAAAGTGACGAAAATTGATATGGAGAATCGTCGAATCACTATTAGAGAAGTTGCATGGTACAGCATGGTACTATTCCATTTCAGTGGAAACACTCTATAGTTACACCTATTTTCAAAACAGTGATTCAAAAAAACTTGGCAAGTACTCATAGACCTACGGTGCAGGAAAACTCAAAGTCGTCTCCACAATTTTATGTCACCCTTAGATCCTAGAACGGTAAAACCATCAATCAGTATATGTTTCGAACCTATATAGGTGGAATGAAAGTATTTACACAGCTGAGCAATATTTGAGGAGAATTGGATTGTTGATCACCTTTCCTCTTGAATCTAACGACCGATCCAACATAAAAATTAGTAAAATTCATAAACCTGATTGCCAAAGTCTACAGTGCCCCGAAATAACAAAGACATCATCGATTAAATACTATTTCTTTTGTAGAACTGCGTTTACGTGGAATAAACTTCCTGAGAACGTTTTTTTCAAATGGATATAATCTCCAGCGATTCAAATCCAATGTGAATCTCTACTTTTGCAGAGGAACCACTCAAAAAGCACCTGAAGGAGTTTCCCGTAGTGCTTTTGTTTTGTCCTCGAGTAAAAAAAACTCGTGGTTCTTGCCCAAAACCTTATATTGGCCAAACAGGGAAAATGATCTCCTGAAGAATGAAAGAACATAGTAGTTTCTTGAATGTGGAAACCAATTACATATTTACATCTTTTGACAGATGATCATTTCTATGAAGTATTACATTTGAAAGAAAAACTGGGAAAATGATCTCCTGAAGAATGAAAGAACATAGTAGTTTCTTGTATGTAAAGACCAATTCTACATTTGCAAACCAAACAACAACAACTCAAATGAACAGCTGAGAATAACAATTATTTTGAGCAAAAAATACCTGCAATGAAACTACAATAAAATGAAAATCAAGCAAAAATTGAAAATTGAACAATCAAAATGAACGAAAAACAGAAAATTTCAAGCCAAGTTACTTCACGACGTTTCGATTGTTAGTATCCACAATCGTCTTCGAGTAATGACTGGACTATTCCTTCGAGAGATGAGCATTCATAGGTCATTCGAGTGCTTTCACTTATCCCCTCTCCCTCCTTTCCGCTTCGCTGACTCAGCAAGAGCTGACAGTTTTTCGCTTGATTATGGGTTTTCATATGTTGCTTATACTCTACGCTAGCTAGACTGGATGTGTCACAACATATATGCAGCTTCTTTGAATTTCCTTTTAAACCAGTGTTCCTTTCTGTGGATGATCTCAGCTAGGGACCACTTGATGTTATGTTGATAAGTCCAAACATGCTCTGCTACTCCCGATTTGTTGGTATCTCCTCGCTGTTTGGGTTTCTTGTGTTCGGTAATGCGGACTCTCAAAAGCCTCTCAGTTTCACTGATATAGGATTTGCCGCACTATCAGGATATCCGGTAAATTCAATTCTTGGAATCGCAGTCCGTGTTTAATGGCGTGGTATTCTTGAGGCTACTATGGATGGTGTTTCCGGATCTGGAGCAGGTTCTGATGTTGTACTTGAACCCAATTCTTCTTATCCCTACCGACAATCCTCTGATGTAGGGAAGTGCAAGCACTGGTTTTGACGGCTTCTCTTCCTTGCGAAGATCTTGCTGTCTTCTAGCCAAAGTCTGGTCTTTGGAGTAACCATTCGTTGAACATCTTTTTTGATTACGCCTAGTTTCTTCTCGAGACCTTCATTCGTATTACAGAGCCCGAAAGTACGGTTTCTGTTTTGATAGATTGATGGTGGTTAGATTCGTGATTCAGATACTGTCCCGTGTGAGTAGGTTTTCGGTATACGGATGTTTCCTAGTTAGTGTCGGTCCTCTTCACCAATATGTCTGAGAATGCCAATTCGTTGTGGACTTTCTCCTTCATTCTGTATGTGATGGAAGGTCTAACGCTGTTGATGTGCTTGAGAGAGGTAGACATATGAACAGCCTATCCGATATTTCTCGCCGAACATTTTCGAACACAGTAACGTCAATATCTCTACAAATATTTATTATTCTCTGTCGTATATCCAATATTGAAACAGGTTCAGTTTCATACACCTTTTGTTTCAAATAGCTTCATAAAAAGTCCAAAGATGTCAAATCTGGCGAGCAGGCTGGCCATTTTGTAGGACCTCGACGGCCAATCCAACGACCAGGAAAAGTAGTATCCAAATTGTTTCTTACTTGTCTGGAGTAATGTGGTGGTGCTCCCTTTTGTTGGAATACAATATCCATATCGAATTTATTAGGATTCGCTTCGACTATTTCAGTGATGAGAGGGTCAATAGTAAGTAATTTCCAGCATATTCAAATACAGTTCCCCTGTTAAATTTAAATCGATAAATGGAGGTTCTCCAATATGGTTTCCCAACATTCCTTCCCAAACGTTTTTCTGGATATTGGGTATGTGTTTCCCGGAAAACGTGAGAGTTGGTATCAATCCAATAACGGCAATTTTGTCTGTGAACATTGTCGTTTGAAAAATGTACATTCGTCACTGAAACAAATATTGTGGAGATAGAGTGCCTTGCAATGGTTTCCTTCATGATTTCGCAGAATTCTGTTCTTCGATCAGGGTCATCTTCAGTTAATTGGTGTACCATTTTAATTTTGCACGGATGATACCTATTTCTTTTCAAAAGTCTCCACACAGTAGAAGGAGACACCTCACAAACATTCGAGACGGAATAAGTAGACTGTTTAGGATTTACTACCGTCTCAACAATTATTTTCACTTGCTGTTCTTCCGGAATGGACGAATGACCTGAGGGCTTTTTCTTATGTACACACCGGTAGTTGTGAATTTGGAAACAAGTTTCCTCAAATATTTTCTACAGATAGGACAATTCGGAAAACGTTCATTGAAAATCATCCCGGTCTCGTGAAAGTTACGCGTCGCACTGTACATGAAAATCGGTTCAATTTTTTCTTTCATTAGACGAGAATTGGCCATTTTAGAGTTTTTCAGTTATGATGCACTGTTTGGAACCTTTGGTGTAGTAATGAATATTACTGGAGTTTTTTCCCAACACCAAATCGTTATTTTTAACACATCTATACGTGTTTCGATCACCAAGTGATCATCTTCAAAGAGGAAGATTAAACAGTTTAAACTCCAGTAATATTCATTTTAGAGATTGTTGACGTGGTACCTTTCTACTAGTAAAACCGAAAACTAAATGAGAATATTGTAACAGAACAATGATGTCATTGTTGTACTGACATTTTTTGTCGTTTTTATAAACAAAAAATAACTTAACAAACCTTATCGGGTTTTTGGAATTGTCATTTGGCAGATAAAAAAGAATATTTCTAGAAATATCGATATCTATTAATGTGTTTGTCTTCAGGAAATCATCAAGTATTCCGCTATTTTGTAGTAGAATGATGTGTCACAATACCCCTTTCCATTTTCTCCCAGATGAAGCCCAGTCGCCATCTTGGAAGTTTCATCAGTCAATTTCACTTCAAAATAAAGTATTCATGCATTAATTGATTTAGGCTTTCGCGGCCGATATTTTAATTGTTACGATCTTCATTCGGGTTCAAAGGCCGTTGTGGTTTGGAACTATATCCTAACGTTTCGACAGCAAGAGTGAGTGGCTGGCTTCTTCAGAGGTTTATTCAACTTGATGGTTCACCGATGACATCGACCTTCGAACCCGAATAAAGATCGTAACAATGGAATTCATGCATTAATTTCTTCATCCCATATTTCAATTTTTTGAGTTGATCCGTTCAAAAAATAAATGTGTGCATTAAAGAAATGCACTGTATGTTGGCTTTAACTGATGAAAGTGGCGATCTCATTGGCAGATCCTCATCTTACGTAAATAATTCGTGTTTCAGTTGGAAATAGCAGTTCCTTACACATCGTCCTACTAGTAATAACTCCATGATTATCTCTGTAGGTGAGTTCGTTCTATTTTCCAGGTCTCCGTCTTCGGATAGCTTCCTCTGTATGATTTGAAGTGCTTCTCCGACAGGAAAGTAAGTGTAAAGGCTTTCCACGCTCTGTGACTTCGATTGCCCCAAGATAAAGAATCCGAGGCATCTATTTCGTGTTTTTTTTTTGCTCAATATAATTGTTATTTTCAGCTATCCATTCTAATTTTCAATTTTTTTCGTTCTTTTGGGGATTTCAAATCATATTATATCATATTAGACAATGGAAGTCGGGACTAGTGAAATTCATTGTGAAGCATTGTCAACCACCTTCAAACTGGGCTATGCAGACGACTTAGTTATCTTAGTCCAGGGTAAATACAATAATGTAGTGAAGGAATGCATGCAGCAGGCCATGAATATTATAACATGATGGACCGAAGAAGAAGGGCTTAACATAAGCCCACCCAAATCGACCATAGTAGCATTCACCAAGAGGACTGAAACGGAGGGTCTCGGACCTTTAAAACTTCTTGGTGAAGAAATACAAGTGTCGGGGGAGGTTGAATATCTGGGTGTAATCCTAGATTCCAAACTGACCTGGAACCAACACTTGGACAGGATAAAGAGGAAAGCGGAGGTAGCACTGATGCTCGCCAGACGCACCTATGGAAAAATATGGGGGCTAAAACCAGACAAGGTATATTGGCTATACGTGATGGTGGTTAAACCCATGATAACATACGCATCTCTGGTCTGGTGGCCAAAGATGAAGCAGGCGACCGCCATCAACAAACTATGCAAGGTGCAAAGAGTTGCATGTTTGGGAATGACGAGAGCAATGAGAACTACCCCAACAGCTGCATTGGAGACACTCCTGAATCTACCTCCTTTACACTTTGTAATAATGGGGGAGGCTAGGATGGGCCAATCCAGACTGAAAAACTCACCGAACTACAAAAGATCGGACCGAACAGAAATTTCGGAACAAGTGGAGGAGCACATATTGAATATGTGCACGGACCACATGACACCGAAGTACACCTTAAACACAAACTTCCTGGCCAAAATCATAAGCCGAATGGAAGACCATTAGTCATCCCGAAAACATGTTTGGAAAAAACACCTGGTATACAGATGGATCGAAGACCCAACATGGAACGGGAGCTGGAATATACAAGCAGATATAAATGTAAACTACAGCTATCCGCTAGGACTATACACATCCGTCTCTCAGGCGGAAGTGTATGCTATCTTGCAGTGTGCAAGGCTTATTAAATTGAGACCTCAAAGAAATGAGCGGATCAATATTTTTACAGACAGCAAGAGAGCACTAGAGGCTGTGACAAACAGAACTACTTCAATATAGTGGGGATCGGCTCAGAATAATTACAGGGTTACTAACAGGTCATTGTCCGTCTGAATAATCTGAGTAAACTCCTGAATAAAAAAGGGCTGTACAACGGAGGCCTCAGCTGCAGATTATGCAACGAAGGGATAGAAACAGCTCTACACATCTTATGCAAATGTGAGGCACCGAATTACAGGAGGCAGGCAATATATGGACGTACAAAATTACGCCCAGAAGAGTATTACGAACATCCAACACGGAACCTGTACAAACTAGTACAGGGAACGAGACTGATGGAATGGGTGTCATGAGAAGATGGAAGAATAAACGCAATAAGCCCAAGAGGCTGCAGTGTTTTCTGGAGACTTAGACTAAATAGACAAGTCAGACAGCTCCCAAGGTACAAAAAAAACACCTTCAAACAAAAGTAATAATTACCTGTATCCAGACAGATTCCCATATTCCGCTCGGTTTAGGTAAAGATGAGTAGCGTTCTCGAATCACAAGGATGTAAACAAAAACGCGGGTGCCGCGTTGAGGTTTGAGATTTTTTCATCGAGACAGAGACAGAGACAGTGTCTTCAACATCTACCTCAGTTTCCAATAGCGGTAGTCTTCGGTTACTGTGTACGAATCACTAAGAGCTACATCTTCCTTCACTTGGAGGTAATTCTAGATCAATTAGGAGAGTCGCGCACGTTTCTCTTCCACCGATCCATGAAAACTAGCCTTTGCTCGAAAATACCTTTCAATCGGGAGAACGCCGTGAAATTTGAATAATTAATGAGCACCCCTGCTTAGCCATTGGTTGCTAAGGGTTTGCGTCGATGCGTTGGTATGTGGACACGATGGACTGGCCAGTCCAAGCCAAAGCGCATGATTTTACGGATTATTCTGCGTTTTATACATTTTATAGCCCCATATCATCATTATCTTCGGATCAATCTGTTGAGGACTTTCGATTTTCCGCTGGTTTTATGATGCGTCAATGTCAGCGTGTTCAAGTTCACAAGTTGTCGTGTCAGTAGGCACGCATATGTGGCTTTAATGACCGCGTATAGTGGAGGATTCTAAAACGCAAAAATTTAAACATTTTTTATGGACAATTTCATTGTAAACAGTACTCAGTAAACATAGTATTTGCCAAATATCGGTAACATGATTGTTTTCGTAAGCTGATAGACCAAAATGGTTGTAATAGTTTGTAGAGTGTCATCCCCAAAGTATGCACCATATGGAAAACTTATTTATTGAGGGTTTTTTGACAAAAAGTTATTCTTGATGAAAGTTTTTCCATCCCCTAAAACTAAACATGCACCAATATAATCTAGTGAAACACACGTAATATACGAGGAGCCTTCAAATATTTGATTTTGAGACAAGTGTGAACTACTCTTATTTTGGAAAATATCGGAAAATGTTATTCAGAAAAATACCTCTAGATTTGAAATCATGTCCATCTGAGTGGAACTTAATTTTTTTTACCCATTTTGAAAAAATGGCGACTACGAAAAAAAAATTTGCTGAAACGATAAGTAGACAGTCTCTTGTATATGACGTTTCATTTTAAAATCCTGTGATATTACGAATTACACAACTATGGTGTCACCCACGGTCAATTTTTTGAAGAGTAAAATAATTTTCAAGTTTTTGGTGCAAAGTTATATCAAAATCAAATATTTGAAGGCTCCTCGTATATTATGTGTTTTACTCTATTTTGTTGGTGCATGTTTAGGTTCAGGGGACGCACAAACTTTTATCAATTATAACTTTTCCTCGAAAAACCCTAAATAAATAAGTTTTCTATGTGGTGCATACTTTGGGAATGGATAATGGTTTTTCGTACAATTCAATGTTTACATAAAAGTAGTAGCTTTGAAAATTGTGTCTGAAGTAACTTCTTTGCATGATCGATACATGAATATTAAGTAAGGATTGTAAGGATTGCAATGCAAAATATCATAGACAGACTAAAAAATCTATTAAAATAAGATATAAGGACAACTTAGCACCCCAAAAATATGGAAGAACAGAACAATTAGCAGTCGTCCATCGTGTTTTGCAACAAAACCATTCCATAGACTTTAGTTAATTAAGATTAGTTAGACAAGTTGACAACAACAGGCATCTAGATGCCTGTGAAAGCGTAGAAATAAGTAAACATAATAATCCTTTTATGAATAACGATGGTGGACCTAGTTGGTCCTTGTTATTTACGAATTTGTTATTTCTATCAAAGAAAATGATTTTTTATCGAAATATGTTTATGTAAAGAGTACTGAAAGAGATATTCATGCCAAATTTGAACCATATTCAATTTCAAATTGTTAATATTTTGTCGGATTCAGATTCTAGAAACCCTGAAAGTTTGGTAAGGCTACCTACAAAGAAACCGAAACAGCATTAGACAATGTTCCTACCGTTCAAAATAGAAACTATTTCTATGATATTATCTACCAAAACCACATAATTTAAAACCTGGTATCAGTGCATTTGGCTCTTTACATTGCACGCTTGAGTCACCACCACAAGGGCCCCAAAAGGTATGAATACGTGTCGTCTATGTCAATTTTTACATCCAACAAAAGGGCTGTTTTTTGTTCCATATTTTGTAACATGCTAGAAAAATCATCAGTTTCAACTTGCATTTGTAAAAATACAATGATCAAGCAAAGCATAGATTTACAATACAGGTTCAACCAGGTTGAATTCAATGCCACGAAAACCCTGGCATCGGTCTTCTCTAAAAAGATAAATGTCTCCGAACTGGATAAAATGGTGTCATGACAGACAAAGCCGCTTTCTGCTTCGATAAGTTTGTTGGAGGTTGAAATGAACACCAATATGTCTTGACACAATCATGTCGCTGGAATTGCAAAGGCTGCTTCTCAAAAGCTTAGTACACTGTTTTGAACACAAAAAGAAAATTTTGTGTGGTGATCCACAAGGATCAGTATTAGGACTCATCTTATTCTTATTATATGTCAATGACATTGCAAATTTGAGCATTTCTGGAAATTTCACTCTTTTCGCTGATGACACGACGATATTGTGGAACAACAAAAATGATTTACACAATGCAATATCTACTGATATGGAAAAAATCAAGGAATAGTGTGATGCTGATGTGCTATCCTACAATATCATTAAAACAAACATTTTATCATTCAGATGTGCTCTTGATGACCTGTCATTTGGTGATAACTTAGTGATCAAGAACAACACCCAATCTAAATTTCTAGGTATTCACATTGACAATAAGCTCAAATTTATTGAACATATCAAACAACTTAAAAGTAAAATTTGTTCTGGATGGTATGCTGTGAAAGTAACTTCAATAAATTTGGGAATCAAAACTTAGAACGGTGTATTATGCCCTCAATGAATCCCACCTACATTATGGAATACCGTTTTGGCGAGTATGCAATTCATCAGCACTTCTGTCTGTATTAGTACTGCAGAAACGGGCTATCAGGTATATATGTGATTCGTGCAGACACAAATTCACTGAGCAAAACTTTTTACAGTGATTACTTTGTTCATTTTGGAATCGGTTTGCCTCATTCACAAAAATATCCCCCTATTTGGGGCTTCATGCCATTCTTATAGCACCCGTTCCACCGCGTTGAAAAGAAATTTGGTCAAGAATTCTATATATTACAATGGGATCAAGATATTTAATCACTTGCCCTCAGATATGACACAGGCAAAGTTGACCAACAAAATGTTTAGAATAAGAGTAAAAACGTTTTACCCTATTATAATTTGCAAGAGTTAGTTCTATAATGACAAACTTACGTAGGGTAGGCGTACCACTTATAGCCATTGCTATCCACGCCCACGAGAGGTGTTCAAGTGGCTTGACACATTTGATTCCACCAGAAGTGATACATATGAGGAATACGCGACAGACTGTGGCTGCTCATCTTTTTGAGGTTCAACTCAGTACACCTTGAACTTCACTGTTTAGGAACTCTCTCATTTGAAAACCGCGTTTGTGTGGAATAAACTTCCTGAGAACGTTTTTCCGAATCTCCAGCGATTCAAATCCAATGTGAATCGCTATTTTCGCACAGGCACCGCTCATAGAGCGCCTTGAGGATTTTCCTGCAAGGCTTGTGTTTGGTCTCTATAGAGAGTGTGCCAAAAGTCTTCTTTAAAGTAAGAGAACTAGTGTTGGAGAGAAATGGAATCACCTCAATTACCTCTCATTCATCATAAATCTGATTTTGGTACTTTCTACTTATTGTTGTACAACTATACACTGTACTCCGTTATTTAATTGAAATGAATAAAGCAAACATCAATACAAAATAACTTTATTGCCTATATCTGATAAAAAGTATTGTTCAACTATTTCACCAGTCTTTCAGTATTGATCTAAATCTCTATGGCTTCTCTCACCATATTGCAGTTCCAGTCAAAAACACTCCGGCCTCCGGTTTCCCTGGACCGAAAGGTCCACCAAACTGTTGCCTGTAGTTGGCATCTAAATCGATATCAACTTGTTTGTCGTGGTAAATATCATAGTTGAGGCCTGCTTTGAGATCGGTAGGACCGCCACGAACATGGTCTGCGCCTAAAACTGCAGATAAGCCATTGTCATGGGTCAGTTTTAGGTCACCACCCAGGAGTTCAGGCTTGTGGAGACCTTTGAGATCCTTGAGATCCTTTGCTGCATAGGCACTGCCATCCAAATGATAGTTATCTCCGTTTAATAACGTTCCATCCTGTTTCACTACTCCTGTCAAACCGGGACCTCGAATATCCCAATTTGTGTCCCTGGAAAAAAATTAGAAGTTGAATTTTTGTTGTATCAGTATTAGTGTAGGTAGTATCAGTTCAGCTCGAAGGAATTCTAGAAGATGTATTGTTATAAATTCAAGAAAGGAAGAAAGGAACTGCTGGAAAATAATTCCATGAAATTCCAAAGATGAAGATGAGTACTATTTTGATCGAGTCCAATTTGATTTCAATTTAAGAGCCACCAGTAGACATATGTTTCAGCCTGTTGGGCATCGTCAATACCGGGCAGGCGGTCCTCTATCGATGACAAAATGTGAAAAAGCAAGAATAGTACTTGACAAAAATAACTGCGTAAAAGAAAGCGAGACATAAATGGAATCACCTATTGGTGTGACAACCAAGTTAGCTTGCCAATTTTTGATGGTTTGACCAATCAACTGACAACTGCATTGGCAGAAATTTGGGAAGCTTTCCTTGGGTTTCAAATCAATAGGTGGTTCCTCTTGTAATAATTACACCAGCTTGCTTATAATTACAGCAAAAATGAGTATGAAACAATGAATTCAACATTTGAATTGACATGAAGAAGTGAAACATGTGTAGAAAATTTGTTTTGTTGGATGAATGGAACCACACCAAAAACATAATAATAATAATGAAAATTGTATCAAACAATAACAATCTCTTCAAAGTTAACGATTATCCTATCGAAGTATCTTGCCCGATTCCTCTGAATAAGGAAGAAAAACTTTCTTATTAGTCAGTGGGCAACTGACAGCAGCCAAATTTACAGACAGTAGGGCAAATTTAGGATATGCAGTTGGTTAGTACCTCGTCCACTAGATGGAGCGACATTTTGTTGTTTCGCTCCATCTTAGGAAGAGGAATGAAATACTCTGAAAAAATTCCGATTTCCAATTATGGAATATCATTGACTTCAGGTCAATGATGGCCAATAGCTTGCACTGATGAGTGGCTAATGAGCCCGAAACCGGTCTGCAACTGTGCCCGTTCCAAAATTGAAGGTCGACTATATCAGTTGTATTGCCAACTGCATATGCAGGAAATTTTCTGTGGAGATTCCTGTACTGACGGCTGTCGTATATAATTCAACGCCCTTCGTGGTATTGGCCAGGGGAGTAGTTGTTTTCTGATAGGCGTCAGTCCATTCAAACTACTGTGTAGGTATATTCGAGACTGGCTTGAACGTTTAAAGTTCATTTCTTTAGATTTGTTTACTGCCAGTCTTCAAGCATAACCCACTGACTAAAAAGAAATCGATTGTTATTTACTTACCTTCTCACACGACTAATGGGAACTATATAATACTCGTTTCCTCCGTCATCTTCGTATATTTCTATTGGCACGCCGGCCACAAATGCCAAGCAGAATGACACAACAAGAAATGATTTCATTTCGATTAGATCGAATGGATTTACTCACGAGATTCAGAAAACAACTGCAGACTGATTAAGAATGTTCGATTTATATACCCGTATCTTCTTTGTTTTGTTTTGAATGGTACTTCACATAGTATCTGGAAGAAAATGAGTCTGTACTGGGGAAGCGGGATTCCTGTGAATTTCAAAGAAACTTGATACGTCTATTTATCAGTCGTAAATTTCGCACTAAGAATTTTTTTTTCAATGTGTGACGAAATCGATTGAAAACTTTGTTTGCTAGCTAAAATTTGAATCTCTGGCGTAAAATGAATTTAATTTCACACCAGAACAAAAATGAATTGCAATAAACCAATATCAAAGTGAAATAGTGAAATTATTTATATTAGGCTTTATTTAGCGATAAATATTTCACAACCTTTCGTAAATCTTTATGACTAGATAATCATCGAATATATTTTGGCAGGTGATTAATGGTTTCAGATATCGGCAACAATATAACGTGTTGAACTAACTGAACTCAGTCAAAAAACCAATTTCAGCACTATACGAGGTCCGTTCTCAAAATCCTCGAAACAATTCTGGTATGCACTTTTTGGTATATCCTTCAGCTCTAGCAGGCGACGGCATCGCAAAACGCCGTCCTTTCATGCGTCACTTCAATCTCAGGAACAGAAAAATGTCGCTGGAGCGCAAATCTGGTCAATATGGTGGCTGAGGCATTATTGAGGTGATGTTTTTGATCAAGAAACTACGAGGAAGCAATTACGAGTGACTAGGTACATTATCGTAATGCAAACGTCATGAATTGTATTTCCACAATACCGTACGTTTTTTTTTGTATTCCTTCTCGCAAGCGGCGCATAACTTCAGAATAATATTTCTTATCAATCGTACGACTATGTGGCAAGAACTCCTGATGTACTACGTCACTGTAATCGAAGAAAACAGTGAGCAAAACCTTGACATTTGATCGAACTTGGTGTGCTTTTTTGGTTTTCGCTTTCTTGGTCTCTTCCATGGGGACGATGAGACTTATACCCATATTTAGTCACCAGTTCTGACACGTTTAAGCAAACCTGGATCGCGTTGACGTCATTCGACAATTTCTGAGCAATGCTCATGCGACGTTTTTTTGTCAAAATTCAGCAATTTTGGAACGAATGTCGCTTTCATGACCAAAATTTACGATTTTTTTTCAAGGACAAAACACAAACACTACAGGAAAATCCTTAAGGCGCTCGCAATGGATTTGAATCGCTCGAGATTATATATATTTGGAAAAAAGTTCTTAGAAAGTTTATTCCACATAAACGCAGTTCACAATCCGTCGCGTATTTATTCATTTATCAATTCAACGGCAAAGCCAATTCACAAAAACACATTAACCAAAGTGTGAGGAACTACAAAGTATTTTTGAATGATTATGTCTGATGTCTACATTACAATTTTACAAAATATTTGGCGAAGTGTGAAAACAAAATATTAATTTGAAGGTGATTGACAATGTTTCATGATGAATTTCACTAGTTCGGACTTCCATTGTCTAATATATAAAATGATTTGAAATCCATTATTAAATAATGCATAAAATCATAGTTTAGGTAAATATTTTGTGATCTATCGACTTTGTGTACTGATTTTAGATATAGAACTTATTTCCAAACATGATTTATCGTGTACATTTTATTCCATGTGGAGAATTTTTCATTAATTGAAACGTTAACGGGTTCATATACACTTTCAAAATTAAATTGATAATTACATGCTCCGTAAATTTTGCGATTTGGCAGTGTTGATTATTTCTATTGTTTCTATTGGTCAATCGAACAAGAAGCAGGAATAGGGTCGTGACGTCACCACCCTACCACATTCGATTTTTAATAATTAATTACGGGAAAACTACGGTACTCAGAGAGATGAAACAAAGTACACTGTTTTTCAATTTAAAAATTCTATCAAGTTAACTATAAACCGAAAATCATGAAACAAGCCCATAGAACCTGGTTAGTTTCACCCCAATTAGAAATCACTTCTGGATCCTCATTAAGATAAGCAACTTCCTGTTGCCGGTGAATGACGAGACAAGTGTGCTGTCGTCAGCAAAGCAATATATTGAAACCTTGTTTTTTTCCACAATGTCGTTGATATACAATAAAAACAAGGGAGACAATATGGATCCCTGGGAAACATCAGCGTAGATGGTAAATGTATTTTTTGTCGTTCTTTTCACAAGTATCTGCCTTCAATTATATTCTCCACAAAAATATGCTTGGAGTAACTCTGTTCTGTTGTTAATTTATCAGAGTTTTTTTTTCGGATGCTTATGCAGAGCAAGACTTCAGCAAAAGGAAGAAATGGTATTTTTTAGCGTTTAAGCATTGAATAAATCATGTTTATACCTAGGTCATACAATCATTTAATGTTAGTTCTATGATCGATAAATATCACTGAAATAGTCGTTTGATGCCAATCGGATAAAAAACGTTTTTACCAGAAGAGCAATTTTAAAAGTATGCGTTGTTACAAATGTGAAACATTTTTATGAAGAATTATTTTTTTATTTTATGTAACAAAAAATTACGAAAAGAACTTACACCATAAAAACAAGGGGGACAATATGGATCCCTGGGAAACATCAGCGTAGATGGTAAATGTATTTTTTGTCGTTCTTTTCTTTGTTCTTTTTGTGAACACATTGTTTGAGACATCAAAGGAAATTATTAGAATTAACAACATTAAAGCATATTTACAGCGGTGTAGTTGGCCCAACAGCGAGAAATAGGTCATGGTAATTTACAAACAAGTAATTTTATGTAACGACCACCTTCAATCGACTGAATAATAAAAGGATTATGATAAAATATTACTTTGCAATGTTCCGTTTTATTGAACGTTTGTCTTTCTGATAAAACAGACACAACTTCCTTCGACCATTCAGTTTCCCTTAGCAGTTTTTATTGACTGAATTCAAAAAATGAATATTTCCCAGAAATACTGATATACTTCGAAAGGCAATCTTAAAAATTAATAAATATAGATCATCACAGAATCTGCTGAGAGAAAATAAACTCATTACCAGAAGTAATTTTTTCAGTCCCCTTTAAAGCTAATCTGTTCCTGAGTAGATTTGAATTTGAAGATTTGAAGTGGACTTGGATCCAACTTAGCCAAAAACAACACCGTAATCAATTAAATCACTCAAAAATTCCAAATACTTAGACGTTTATGAACTAAATAGTGATACCAATGAAGAGCGTCCTCCAAAATATTGTTAAAGCCTCTTTCTGAATTGGTAAATGTAATATTCACAAGTGTTGTTTTGTCTGATGCATTTGATCTATCAAAAGTTATTCCCTTATTCAAAAACGGAGACATTTCTCTTGTTAACAATTATCGCCCCATTTCAATAAACTCCATTTTTAGCAAAATAATCAAGAAGACGCATATTCTGAAAAATATAAATCATTCAATGAATTTCAGTTTGGTTTTCGTAGGGGCCGCTCCACGGCAGAGGCAGTTCTCAAAGTGATGAGTGAAGTAGTCGACAATCTCGAGCAAGGAAACCACACAGCTATAACGCTCTGCGACCTCTCTTTTGAGTTTGACTGTGTCAAGAGAAACCATATTATCATGGCCTCAGAGGAGTATCTCTATCCCTCATTAGATCATATTTGTCGAATAGATATTAAGCAGTCAGTAGCAATAATTGCATTTCGAATTTTGAACTTGATGATCTCCAAGGATCAGTACTGGGACCACTTCTGTTCATAATTTACGTGAATGACATCAGTAACTTCAGGCATCCATATAGGTAAATGTTTTTTGTTTGCCGCTCAGAAGTCGAAACTTCTGGGGATTAACGAGGTCTTACCTCTCAACGTGTGATTCCTAACACAGGTTGGACGATAGCAACTGAAAATCGATCGTTCAGACTAGGACTTGAACCACCGACCAACACGGCAGTCAATTCGAGAGAGTGAACAAGGCACCCACGTCGAACCGCCTGGCTACCGACCGACCGAATAAATGAATATTACTTGAGAAAAATGTACAACAACCTTATTTTCTGAACAGACAGGGTACATATATTGTCTTTCAAACTCGTACACTAAGTTGCTATAAGAAATTATAAACAAAATAAGTGTCTTACCTTTGTTCACATATTGGTAAACGTAATACGGAATATATATTTGGAGAAGCGATCGACAGAAAAGTTCCTGAGAAATCTTCGCAAACTTCTTCCAATATGAACCTTCTTCATGTTCTAATAATATGTAACTACCGAATCGAGTTACATCTACCGTGAGTCATCTAAATTTAGCGACAATGGCAAAGTAAATTGACCCTTAATTGTGCATCGGTATTGTTAATGCCTTGTTACTATCACATTTGACTCTTAACATCATGTTTGCATGGGCGCACGAGGTTTACCGTGTAACTATCTTGCAACAAAATACAAGGTTCATAATGCGATAAAGGTTTGTCGAAGTATTGTTCCAACAATGGCAAAAATCAGAAATTATTGGATTGTTATGCACTGTTTGGAACCTTTAGTGTAATAGTGAATATTACACCAAACTGTTAGTTTAACACCTCGACACGTGTTTCGATCACCAAGTGATCATCACCAAGAGAAAGACCTTCCTCTTGATGATGATCACTTGGTGATCGAAACACATGTCGAGGTGTTAAAATAACGACACGTGTTTTGATCACCAAGTGATCATCTTCGAGAGGAAGATCTTCCTCTTGATGAGGATCACTTGGTGATCGTAACACGTGTCGAGGTGTTAAAATAACGGTTTGGTGTTGGGAAAAAACTCCAGTAATATCAATTATTGAATTACTTTTGACATTTTCACAACTAATTATCGAATTCAGAACCATTGAATTTCAGAATTTTATATTCAAAATGGAATTTTCAACAATTTTATAGACTACTTGCTCACTACTTTTGAAGTATAATTTTTTTTCTCAAAAGTAATAACTTTACAAGAGAATCAAAAAATGCCGAAACCCGGGATCGAACCAGGGACCTTTAGATCTTCAGTCTAACGCTCTCCCAACTGAGCTATTT